AAAAAAAAAATATACATAGTAAAGAAAAAGAAAGTCTTAAAATTTTCCGGTCTTTAAGATCTAGAATTTTAAATATTGAGTTTATATTGTTAAAGTAGGTGAATTGAATAAAATAAACAGACCTGATACATAAACTCTTACCAATGACCAAAAACCTAAAATTTAGGATGAGTTTTATTCGGAAAGTGCTCCTAGAGCATTAATCGCCGCTTTTTTCTTTGCATCTTTCTTATTACTACTCAAGCCAACACCATAACTTTTACCCTCAATAATGACTTCACATTCGAAGCCTGGTTTATTTTCAAATTGTTTTTCAATGTGCTTATATTCAGGTATTTTAAACCCTCTAGCTTGAGCCCAATGTTGTAATTTTCCTATCGGATTTTCCAACGAATCAGATTCTATTGGTTTATTCATAGGACCATATACAATTCCTACGTTTTTAGGAGGAGATGAATTATGACCGTTTTCAGAGTTTGCAAGCAAATCGTCCACAAATGGTTTAATAATTGGTTCCATAAATTCCATAACACCATTTAAATTTCTTCCGCAATCCAAATAAATAGCACCAATATATGCTTCAAAAGTATCTTCTAAAATTCTTTCATTATTTCTATCACCCGCTGCTAATGCACCTTTTCCCAACCTAAGTTCATTATCTAAACCTAATTTACGAGCAAATCCAGCTAAGGCTTCCTTACAAACAATGTTTGCCCTCAAAGTTGTAAGAGCGCCTTCTTTATAATCTTGAAAACGAAAAAAGAGATAATCAGCAACTACCGTAGAGATTATGGAGTCGCCTATCCATTCAAGTCTTTCATTATGGGGACCATTTTCAGGTTGTTCGATGGCAAACGATTTATGGGTGATTGCTTCAATTTCTAATTTTTTATTTTTAAATTCCCAACCTTTGATTTCATCCATGTTTTTAAAATAACTATATTAATTAATAAATTTGGAGAATACCAAAAAAATAAGCGATTTATAAGAAAAATTGGATATATCACATGCAATAATATAAGTTGATCATGATTGTAATAAAATGTGTGTAACGAGATCCTCGGAATGCGGTATCCGTACGTACGTAGGCACGTACGTACGTTCCGTTAAAGGATTGCTCTTGAAAGAAACAATGGCGATAATTCCGTATAACCTACCTTTTATGTACATATGATGTAAGCAATTGTTCGAGAAGGTTCCGTGATGAAATTCTCATAACGTTTTTAGATAATATTTTTGGAATAAAATTCTTTAATTCTTTTTGTCGATTATAGTTCCGGAAAAACGTAATTATTTGGGATGTACGGTGACTCCATTTCATTGTTTCCTCTTTTATAAAGACTTTATTATTATCACAATAAAATAAACAATCTTAATAAAATACATGTAACAATCCTGAAATCGAAAACAAAGCAAATGTGTGAATTCAAAATTTCCAATTGTTGTCAAAAATCGCTACCAGTCAATGATTTTATAGATTATCCGGGGCGGAGCCCCAGAATCCGGGAGTCCACTGCCGCAGCATCTAGTTTTCCGAACTTAGGAGAAAATTTGGACCAAACATTATAAATTGATAGCAAAAATATTCTTCGGGGATAGTGATTATATGATATGGTCTTGATAGGTTCTTGAGAGTCGTTTTGTCAACAAAGATCTCAAATTCAAAATGCTACGCCAAACTTCGGGGAGTCGCCCTGGTATATCCGCTATACATCATTGGTTTCACCTTAAA